AAAAAAAAAAAAAGGTTTTAGTTTTAAACGTAAAAATACGTGAATTTTTTTTTGAGGAATTAATCTTTCCAACAATTTATACCATCTGCATTTTCGTTTTTTTTTTCTAATCATTTGATAGATCAATTTTTTTTCAAAAAACAAAAAAAAAGCAAAAATATAAACTGCTGATACGGAATTGTGTTAAGCAGCAACAATATTTGGTGCTGTTCACAGTATATCAAAACGTTTATCAAGTTTTGTTATTGTTAAATCTATTCTTTTTTTTGCTGCTGCTTTTTTTTTTTTGTCTTTCTCATCTTTATAAATAGTAATATTAACTGTAGGCATTTTTACTTTGCTATAGATACTTGAATAAAACAACGAACAGTGATGATGATAATCAACATAAAAATGAGAGATTTTGGCTTTTTTTTTTTTTTTGTCCGTTTTTCCTCTGGTTTTTTTTGATCATTATTTTGCTCATTAATTATTGTCTACTGAAAAACGATTTGTTGTTGGAGTCGTCGTTGTTTCGGCTTTCCACTTCAACAACAACGATAACAACAACCCGATACGTCGTCTATGTACCCGATTTTGACTAAAAATCAGTAAGTAGTCAGCCAACCAACCAAACCACCATTCAACTAATCAACAAACTCATCGATATTGTAACAAAAAAAAGTTGTCATTTTACTAACTAAGAGTTGTATTAAAATAAATGCCGATTATCGCTGTTTTGCTGTACTGATTGCTGCGCTGATATATTTATATATATTTATCGTTCTTCCACACCCTTCCTTTTTTTTTTTGGCCCTTTCCATCACCAAATTACAGCTTAGTTTGGCGAAGATAAACTTTAATGATAATAATAGACTATTTCCCTCTTCCCCACTAATTTGCCACGAATATTTATCTGCTTTTAATTTTTTAATTAAAGATTTCCAAAAAATTTTGTTAATAATTATTATTGTTCTTTTATTTTTTTTTTTTATTGTCGTCTTCTTTTTTAGCATAAATATATACATATATATATTTATGGATGGATATTTTGATTTTGGTTTTTTTTTTTTGTTTTTGCAGTTAGTTGGTGGAAGCAATGAACAGCATCAACATTGGATTGCTGTTACTGTTGGCTGTAATTGGAAACCATATGGTTTACAGTTGTGATATAATTGTTCATGTTCAATCAAATACCACCAAAAAATTTCAGGCACAAGTTGTTGCACCAAATGGAAAAAAAAGTGAAAAGTAAATTGATGATTTCTTTTCTTTTTTTTTTTTCTCTCAATTTTTTTTTTTATTCTTCTCTTTTTTTGTTCTTTTTTTAGTTTTATTTTTTTGTATCACATTCTAAAATTATCTGATATTTTTCATTTTCAAAACCGATTTTAAACGGTAGTTCCTTATTGTTTTCTGCTGTCTTTTCTTCCTCCTTTTTGTTCTTTTGTTTTCAATACTTTTCAGCAACAGCTATAATTTTTTGATCAACAATAAAAATACAAAAATTTAATTATCTGAACCTTTCCCTTGTCCGGCACAATATGTTTTGATATGAAAGAATAATTGTTGATCTGTTTATCAGATGGCAGTTCAGCAAACCTCGGGAAAAAAATACCTTCCAACAAAAAGCTTCTGAATGCGGAATTAAAGACTGGGAAATTACAACCTTTGATGGCAATAAACCTGTAAACACTGTTAAGGTAATTATTTACACCTTTTATTTATCTTTTTTTTTTAATTTTTTATTTTTCTTATTGCCTTTTGTTGCTGTCGTTTCTTTTTCTTTTTTCAAATCTAAGAAAACTTTTAAAATTGAATTGAAACTTTTGACTTGCAAAAAAAAAAAATAAATACATTTTTGTCAAACAAAAAATCATTGTTTTCATTGTGCACTGAACAATTGTTTTTTGGTTTTTAGCAGAAAGAAAAAAATCTGTCAAGAAGAGGAAGAAAAAAAAAGCAGAAAAAACAAACACACGAAAAAATACTCAGAAAAGTAACTGTTGTTGAGAAGTAATCTTTCTTTTTTTTTTGCTGTTAGTTTTATGTAACAACAGTTCAATTGTCGGATACTTGTTCAACTATTTTTTGCACATCAATCATACCCTATAAACTTTTTTCACTTATCATCTTTTATTCTTCTTTCTATCTTCAATTTTTCCGCAATTTTTTCTCGTTATTTTTACACACTGTTTTCAATCGTTTTTAGATATACTATAACTTAGTCACAGTTGCAAACAAATATAAAGTAACAGGCTAAAGTTATTTGTGAAAATGAAAGGAGAAAAGAACCACTGTGTCATTTGATAAGTGTTCAAAAAAAAAAGTGCTATAGTATTTTTATCACTTCTAATCACTGAATATCTGCTGAGATATATCATATGTTGAAGAATCAAAATTCATAATACATTGTTCAGCAAGTCTTAACAATTCCTTGAAGATTATTCAGACACTACGGGTCGATCAAGTTTAGCACCAAAACTTTTGTCAAAATTTGATTTATGTCTATCGTAGGTGGAACAATATCTGCAAAACTGTTCTTTTTGGTACTTTTTATGACGGTTGATTGCTAAAAAAAACATCAAGCAACAGTAGTCGACTAATAGTATCTGAAAACGAGGAGTACAAGGGAATCCATTGAAAGGATAGGTACTCTACAAAGAATTTATCATTCAAATTCTAAAAAAATACCAGTATCATCATTTATAATTTGTATCGCCAACATGTGGAAATATCAGTGACCAAAATACGTTGTCAAAAGCAGCTCTTCAATTACTTCCAGTTTCAACCACAGCGCTAACTTCGCTAATTAGATTGATCTAAATTGTAAACTGAAAAAATGAACCTAAATGACCAGGTTTTTCAAGAAAAAAAAAAACTGTACGGTAAGCCGTTATTGTACTGTGTGTTCTAAGATGACCGACTTTTTTTAATGACATCTTTGTCAGCTGGCATCTGTTAAGTATCAGAAAATGGCTATATTTTAGGCTAGACAAACCCGAGGTTTTTTGTTTTTTTTTTCTTTTAAAAAGCAAAAAAAATAAAAAATACCAAACTTCCTGTAATTAAAAAAGCAAAAAAAAAAAGAAAAGAAACAAAAACAAATAAAAGATTTTTTTAATCAAAAGATATTTAGTTTTTCTAATTCTTTTTTTCTTCTTCTTCTTTGTTTTGTTTTTTGTTCCTTATGACTGTTTGATTTGCTGTTTGATTTTATTCGTTTTCACTGTTTTAAGCTTCAGAATAGATGCAGATTGATTTATGGTTATTAATAAGCTAATGTAGGTGAAAAATTGTCTCCTATCATAAGGTTGACATTGCTATTTTAAGGTTGTCACAACAATGCACTAATAATGTTGTTGTTTTTTTGCTTTCTTTCAACCATTATTCTATGGCTTTATTATTCAGTCAATAGAATGAATGGTAATTTTTGTTGTTTATTAGAAAATGTTTTTCGAAAACAGAAAAAAAAAAGTTGTAT